TCTTTCCCATCCACCTGGTATTTGCAATCAGCAAGCGGAAACCACATTGGCAGCTCGGCAGTCGTTCCCGTTGACGCTCGTCGAAAACGGATCGTCGACGAAGGACGAAAATAAGCCGGCCGTATTGCAACGAATGCAAGAGAGAGTGGGGCTCCTATCGGATTGAAACGATATCGGATGCATAGCGAACGACTTCGTTGGCACCGGTTGCGTATGCGTGAGATAATGAGCTGCCGATCGATACTTCATCACTCGACGAAAATTTAATTTCGAACGTAGAAATTTATTAATGAGTTTGCATCGTGTTGCCAAGAGAGAGACGGATAGATTTATTAGTAGCGCAATTTAATTATTATTAAATAAACTCTAAAAGGTATCAGATATTTAATTTTAAATTATCTTCAGCACATTCGAAATGATATCGTTAAGTAAGTAAAGTGTATCGTGGTCGAATAAATCGTCCTTTATCAAGTACATAATCGTTTGCGTCTTTCGTCAACACAAGGATAATACTTATCGCGCGACTAACGCTGAGCTTTACCCGCGCGACAATCCAGGGAATGTGTATCTTTTTGAATTTATCTTCCGCAGAACAAACAATGCACTGGTTCGCGCAGATCGGCGGTGACGAAGATTCCCTCGCTTTGTCAGGTATGCCCACGGGTTGATCAACGTGTTCTGATAACGTTTGTGTGAATGTGGTTTGAATTTTTTTTTCTTTCTCTCCCTTTCTAGTTTTTTTGCAATGTTAAAAGAACGGTCGCATTCGATTGTTCATCGAGGATCAACCGAGATTATATTCCGATTCGTTGCATAACGCATTCATGCGCAAAGACACGTTTAATCTTTCAAAACCGCTGATGAAATAAAAGATGATATATCGTGATTCTATTTTTTTATTATCAAAAAGATCTATATGATATATATGCATATTATATTATACTAATAAAAGATTAATGTGTGTTCCTATGTGATAATATGTGCAATTTGAAATTAAAATGTTGATACTACCGTTAGAAAGACTAATGCTATCTGAATATATTTGTCCCCGTATTAACCCCCTTATTTAACGGAAAACGTGACAACTCCTGATGTAGAATTTTATTTGCACAAGGATCGGATTCGACTGGCTGTAAATACGGCACGAAGATCGAATAATCACGTCCGAGTGTTAAATGTGTGGATGTGGATCGTGACATATGATATATTTGTTCTTCTGGCTGCTGACCACAGAATAATGTTGCTCGTTGTATTCCCAATTGCGTATAGGTCTGTCAAATTGCTGTAATGGGGTTGTTTAACAGAGCCGATTTCAAACATTTTCATTGATTTTTCGATCGCGGTCGAAAGACATGAAAAACGAATCCATTTTGCAGAACATCGTGTAACAAAGCTAATGTGTCGTGTGATTTGGAAATTGTTTAATGGAATGGATATTTGACACATGATTGTTAACGCGTCCCAATTTTAATACTAATCCTTTGATACGTTTCTGAATCTAACAAACGATGTTAAAGACTTGCAATATATTACTGAACTGTTACACATATCTAACGCATACGTATAACTCTGTTTAAATATAATAAATATGATAATGTTCCACACTATTGTGGAAATAAACTTTCTTGTGAACTCTAAAAATGTTAATGATTTATTTCACGTAATGAAATATATTTTCCTGCAAATTCTAACGCGCGCTGTTTGTGCATTTTTCCTGTTAAGATTTTTTTTCTGATCCTGTCAGAGATAATACTGAATATATGAAACTTTCTGCGTAGTGTTGAGCTAACAAGCTCTTGATCCATATAATAAGGTCTAGCTAAATGCGACGCACAATTTTTTCACTATTACGTAGTTTTCATCCGCCTTGCAAGAGCTTCTGCGCAGCTAATTTTTTAATATCGTATTCAATAGAAAGGATTTCATTATATATCATGGGCAGCGATAACTCCGTTTTCCATCCTACTTATAAAATAAATGCCGTCTGCGACTGCAGCGAACCTTCAAACGGCTCGCTGCAATCTTTTCATGCAGTCTGATTATCTTTTTAGAAGAAATGAAAAGGCAGATGAAAGTTACACGAAAGAATCGCCGCTTAAAAAAATGGGATTTCTCATTTTATATAAAACAGAAATATCACAGGCTATTATAAATGAAATTAGGATATAAATAGAAAACATTGCTTTAAGCACAATGCATTTTGCATACTAATATTGAAATAATAATTATAATTGACATCTATGAATTTATTTCATTTATTTTCTTTTTTACTTTGTTTTTAATTAATTTTAATTATTTTATTAATGAAATGTTGTATTTGAATGTTGCAGAAAAGTTTGAAAAACAGAACCTTCTGATATTAAATAACTATTGACACTAACATCAAATCACAGCATATTCATTATTTCTTCTTTGTCCTCAATCTTGCATTAATTCCGTCAACTATACATCGCACGTTACTCACTTTAACTGTATATATATACATGTACATAATACCATACACACAGGTACCTGTTAATATTCATGCTTTTATCCATTCGTTCAGTCATTAAATTCATTCATTTCATTCATTCATTCATTCATTCATTCATTTATTCATTAGTACGTGCTGCAAATCTTAATCTTGAATCTTACGTGCACACGCACTCTCACTTTCTTCTCGGCAGATGTGAAGCGCCGGCGAAGTCTCTACGATGAGGATTCCCTCGACGGCGATCGTCCTTATGAGAATGAAGGTACCAACGTTTTCAAGGGCATTGTACAGACCATTTTCCTTTTCTTCTCACTAGACTCCTTCTCTTATTTCGATGACGCTAACGAGTCATCAGTTTTTAACACTTTCACATTTATAACATTTATAGTTTTAACAAATAACGATAGTTATTACTCATTCTGCACATTATATCTGGTAATAAGCTGTAACTTTATTCGTGTTAGATGTACTTTATTTTTAAGACATCACATATATATAATATTACAATGTTCTAAACAGAACTATTTTATTTTGCATTGTACATTTTGTAAATAGTTCTTTTTTTTATTTTGATGTATAAACTCTCTTTTCTAGTGAGTAGTGAAATGAGGTCAGCACATTTCCCTAATTATTTTATTTCTCTACTTCCCTGTCTTATTATAATGTATTATCTAATTTATTTGTGATAGTTAATTATTTATGAAATAATATTTATTTTGATAAATTTATTTTTTTAATCAGTGTTAGATTTTTTTATTTGATTATCTACTTATATTTATTGTTTAATCTCTTTATCTCATCTAATATAGCGCAATATTTTTAATATAACTACGTTATTGTGTGTGCAACATAAACTTATCTGGTAAAATAAATTAAAATTATTTAAATTTTCCGATCGCATATATATTTGTTTTTCCACGATTTAAGATAATCTTTTCGATAGATATAATTCTGTAAACTTATTTAGATTCGTTTAACTTGTTGAAATTTCTAAATATATAATCGAATAAAAATGTGATTATGTCACATAACACTTTAAAAGAAGATGCATTTATCTCTAACCGAGTTTTCTCGTTCGTGGGAAGCCACCGGTACAAACTAGTCGTTTGTAACTAGTTTAAACGGACGTATAATGAATACGTTCTTTTGACGTGACTGTTCACAGGACGGGAGTCGACGGGAAGCTCGAAGGAGTTGGACAGGGCGAAGCTCGTCCGCGAGAGACAGAACGAGGAGCGGCAGCGGAAGTTGGAGGAGCTCAGGCAGCAGGCCCTTGCCGCGCAACGCTTCCGCGAGCAACGCGAGGAGGAACGACGAAGACGCATCGACGAGCTCAGATCGCGTGACAACGACAGGTTTGTTGGGTCCGAAATCGAGATTATTTTGCTCATTATTACTTTAATGAAGGATTCGACCCGATTCAAACCTTTCGTCAAAAAATCGAATGTAGCACAGTTTATTCTTGTTGGCCTTTAAAATCATATTGCATCGCGCGAGAAGAGAGTAGAATTTAGTGTCTCATGCAGAAGAAATTTTGAATAATTAAAGACGTTTTATTTTGTTTCTCTTTACGCAGACGAAATCAAGTGGAGGAGAGAAAACGGTTGATATGCGAGGCGGAACGAGAGAGACGGGAAGCGATCCTTCGCAAAAATCAGGAGAGGGAGGCGCGTATTGAGGCGAAGAGAAAGAACGAAAGATCGCACATCGTCTTCGCGTTCGGCAGCTCCACACCGCGAATGCTGGAACCCGCTGACACCGGCGGCTCCACTTTTTGGGGAACCCGCAAGGCTACTTCCACCACTAATGTCATGATGTTCTCCGCGGCGCAACCTCTCACCAGGAGATCCTCCGAGCGGGAGCTTGACGGCAGCAAAAAACGGGCCACTTCCGCCGGTGGACTCGATCGGAAGCCCGGCGAAGGTGAGTCGATTTATATTTTCCCATATACCGAAACGAGTTCACCAAGGTACACCAAAGAGCAACCGAGAAAGATCGTTGATGAGCATGTAACTGTACACATCGCACATGGAAATTCGATTAACCCTTTCAGCGCGTGATGTTAGACTTGCTGCATGCCGCTTGAATGTTCTATTTTGCGAGAACAATTCTCGAGAGAGAAATTCTCCAGCAGATTCTGATAGAATCTGGAGTATTTCTGAATGATTTATTTTCGCATTCTACATTTCGATTGATATCTATTATATTTTAATCAATGTAATGTTCATGTAATAATTTTATTCTCTAGACTTCTGTTATCACGAATGTCAATATATTTTAATTTCGATTTTTAATTAATCTTCTGCCATTTTTTTTTTTTTTTTTAAGAGATAGTAAAATTTGTTACACACGTGCTATTTGTATCGAGATGCTTGCAGTTGACCATAAATGTAATATGACGCACGCTATATTTGATTTATCACAGAGAAATTGAAACGTAACGTATATATAAGGAATATCTCATAAAATATGTGCGGAATATATATATATATATATATATATATATATAATATGAAATAGCCGGGCAGCAGCGCTGAAAGCGTTAAAGGCTTTTCCGTCTCTCGCACACGAAGTGTGAATAATACACACGTTGGTATTGCACCGTGCACCGGTGGAATGCAAATTAATGTTTGCCGTAAATTCAGTCGAATCAACAACGATCCTTGATGCGAACACGCACGATGAACGGCTCGGAAGCGGATTTGGTGTACTTCAATGTGAGTATAAATACGAACCGAAGCACGTAAACTATGTTGTGTATCGTAAAACGGGAAAAATTAATAGAGAAAAATCGATTGATTAATATTAGTCAAAGCACTTTTGAATGAAATATGTTTTACGATGTTTTCTCTAATCTTTTTCACGCATTATTTGTTATACAAATCTCTATGTACGATGTGTGTGTGACAGATTAATGAAGCAAAGTATATAATCATCGCGCGCATTAAATTCTAAGGTAGTTAAATATCGAAGGGAAAGATTATAATGTGTAAATTTGTAAAATAGGATAAATTTTACAATTCCAAAGGAATAAATCGTAAGCGAATCACAGCTCGTTCCCTTCTGCTTGCTCCTTTTTTGTTCAAGCATTCAATGTATGTATCGATGATTAATGTTTATCGTTTGGATTTACAATCGTTCTTTCTGTCGCGAATTCACGTGGGATGTCATTTCATCGCATCATTGTTGCGAGAATATTTCTACGACACGTACTCCAATGCTCAGAGACATCGAGTTACCCAGATAAACGGCACAAGGAAGAGGCTCGCATCTTGTCGTAACCCATACTTTACGCACGATCGCTTCCGATACCTTTAGCAATATATTTTTCTTAGTGGCAATCGATACCATCCTGCACAAAGTAGAGAGAAACTTCATCGGTGAAGATGCACATGTGATAAACAAAATTTTCATAGCGTACTCGCTGTGAAAAAACCCAGCCTGTGTTTCTTTGCCACTTTATTATTATAATATGAAAAGTAGTGTGGAAAGAGATTTAAATAATTGATTACGTCTAATAAAATGTATTAACAATTATTATTATTACTGAAATTAACATAAAATTAATAATTAAATTATTTCGCTATAAAAAAAAATTGGCCGATTTATTAAATCGCGCGCATTTATTTAATCTTAAGCGTAAGACTCTGAGATAGCTAGTTTGCAATAGTTTTAAAACGGTTATTATAAATCAATTGTTATAAATCATATAAAATTATTGTCACACAAAGTTTCTCTTCACGATTATTCGCAGTGAACTTTATACCACGAAGCATGAAAGAACGATTGTTCAGCATTGTTAGAGCCTGTAACGTGACCTTCTCAGCGTGAATTTTATTCGTTTAATTTTATTTTCAGGTTTATACTCTATAGCCTATCCCGTGACAGTGTATATTCTTGTGACAGTGTCCCTTTAAATAAAATCGAATCTATGTATATGTGTATTTCTCAGCTTATTGGTTACACAGCGAGTCTTGAGAGCGAGTTTTGAATTCCGCGATATAAGTTGCAAGTTTTGCTTTTTAACGCGACACATTTTTGTTCTTATTTTTTTTTCTTGTTTACACTATACACAGATTACTCGATCATCATTTATCCTAAAAACTACGCTACATCTTCATTCATTCTTTCCTATGCGCAAACACGTATTTTTTTTTATTTTTTGTTTCAAAGAAATAACATCTTGAATATTATTAGAGAAAAACAAAGAACATAGAATATACATTTAAAGAAATTAAATAATAAACTTTAACTATGGGAATTACATTTCCTCTCTCCCTGTATATTTTCTCTTTGCTATCATCTGTAATTATCGGTGGTGGTTTTGTAAAACGAATGTTGTATATATTTGAAATAAGAAAGTACGATCTACAACTGTACCTAACTTATGCTAATGTAGTCATGCTTTCCCATTTTACTTTTCTCGTCCAATCGCCCGATCTTATAGATTTTTCGCGGAACACCTAATATATTTGCGTTGCGTTGAATGGTTTGTTTGCAGATATGAGAATGTCCTCGTCCATGTACGAGGTGTTCAATTGGAATTCTAGCCCCGATCCCCCTTTAACTCCTGCCAAGCATAAGAGAGCCAGCCTCTCTCTGCCCCCCACAACCGACATCTTTGCCGTCGATGATAAGTCTGATAGCGACGCTAGGCGTCCCATGATTCAGCGGGTTGCCAGTGGTGAGTCCTGATGTCTCGGAAGCCTGCAAAAAAGCTGGAAGAGATCCTCTATTCGTTTCACGAATGAAAATTATCGACCCTTTATCTCTCGTTTTGTTTAGAACACTCTCATCTCAGACTTTCTTCCTTTCTTTCTCTCTCTCTCTCTCTCTCTCTTTCCTTCTACATCATTATGTTTTTCTTTTAGTTCACTGCATACTCTACCAGCGCATGCCACGTTCATTTAACATCGTAAGAACATACTCCCGCGCACTTTCTCTCATTAATTGTCTTGCAGTTTCCTTTCCGTAGGTTGTATGGTATTGGTCAGGTGGATTTTGCGATTTCTCGAGACCATCATAGCCATTTGTACGAGACTATATGGCAGCCAATATCACGCAACAATGTATATCATTAATTCATCCTATCCTCATCTGATCCCTGCTAATCTATTGTGTTTTTAACGCGGATAAATCACTAAACACTATTAATGTTTAGTTGCAAGTAAAATCTTAGCTGGTCTTGTTTTAATATATAGTTCAATTTACTTATTAATGAATTTTACTAAACAGATTTGAAATGCGACTTGATGAAAGCGATAAATTTATGATGTAGAGAAAGAGATTTAGAAATTAGAGTGTACCAATTAGAAACTATGGTCTTTAAATATCACCGCGAATATATGCGTCTAATAGAACGATTGTCAGTCGTTTTTAATATTTCATTTTTTCATCGTTTATATTATATATTTTCATATACGTACGTATACCGTCATATTACTAGTTCATAATTAGTTGCAGAACTTTTTTTTGGATTAAATATATAATATAATTATTAATATTTATAGTTTAACGATAAAAGATAGGATATATTATTACACACTATAACGAAATACAAACAGAGAATTTAACTCGATTAATTATGTCGTTGATTTGTGATATAGATTATAATTGTTATGAATAATATAGAGTTTATTGCTTGCATGGATTGATGTTTTGTTGTATTTTTAGGAATTATCTGATTGAATTTAAATGTTACTTTGCTTTCCAATACTATTCGTATAAGATATATCGTGTTATTTTTCCCTCTACGTATAAAATTTATACAGCACGTACATCGCAAACACACGTATACACACAATTCGACACTTTAATTCTATCTTACATTATTTTAACGCAGCGATTTACTTACATTGAGAGACGCAAATATTTTTAATTAAATAAATTTTTTCAAGAAACACATTTTTTTTTTTTATATTTATTTTTTGTAATCTTTCTTTTTCATCAAATGAATGCGCTAACTTTTTACCTACATCTTCATAAATTTCGAACAAAGGAGCGAACACTTACATAACACAGTTGTGAGCAAAATATCTCTCAATGTACTTTCGCATTATCTTTTTACACGTCATAGCATGAAAAGCAAAGCAGCACAATTTATGCAAAGAAAGTAAGAGAGAAAATAAAAATCTGAAAACGTCAAAGTGTTGATGCGTCGTGGAGAACCTCTTTACTCGAGTGTGTCTCCATCGAGCGAGCCGTGTAATCGCTGCGCGGATCGACGGACGTCGCTTCGCAATACACACAAGGCAACCCTAAGCGAGATTCTTTGCAGGTGAGGATAGCGATGGCGGCACACCCAGCACTCCGACCTCGGTTTACCTGCGAGTGAATAGGCGACGCACCGACCTCATGCCGACGATACCGTCCCCGCGCGACGGCCCGCCGTCGACGGCACGCAGTTTCAGCGCCAAGGCCTTCACACGCTCACCAGGTAGGACTTACTCCATGTCCAGGCTGGACCAGCTGGCGCAGCCTAGGAAACGCGCGACCGAGCAGCAACTCGGCACGCTTACGGAGCAGCGGCAGCAGAGCCAGCCTCTGCAGAGCGCTTCTAGCATGAGCCGCAGCATGTCGCACTTGGCCGCGCCCGGAAGCACCAAGAGCCTCAAGCGCTCCGATAATTCGCGTAGCATGGGCACGCTGCCGGGCGCGGCACCAATGCCCAGAACCACCCGCGCCGAGAGATTGCGCCGCAAGGCCCGCGAACACCAGCATGCCCAGCAAGGTAAGTGCGTGTGACCGTGCACTCAACTCGACACCCTCGACTTAATTTCCCACCGTAAATCGAGCTTCTGTACAAATAGCCAAATCCTTCACGATTTTTTATTATAAACCACCGATAAATTCCCTTTTTTACTTACTTTAAGAAAGCGTAAATTGTATTATCTTTGACGTTGCAGATATATAGGCGAAGTAGTTAAGTAATAGCGACGATAGATTGCATTCTTTTACATGTATATTAAAATTTCGTAAATTTATCTCGCCAGAATATGTAAAGTCGATTTTCCCTGATTAGCCTTTCTCACAACTTGTCAGACTTAATTAATCACTCGTTTCGCTTTGTACTAATTTTCTCGCTCTATACAGTCGGATTCATTGCTTAACAATAAGCTTCGTAAGCTAGATCGGTATTATGGTCTTCAAATTGGGAGCGTGATCTCGTGAAGTTTAATAAAAGACAATATACATGAATGCACTCGTTGTATCTAAGAAGGAAATCTCAACGTGATCTGAGTTGGGTGCACACATGCATGAATGAGAGTAAAAAAAAAAAAAAATCTTTGTGAATCAATTAGGACGACCAACTTCAATCAAGGCGTGAAGATAGAAAAAAAGGCGTTCTCTATTTCTTTTCTTCTAATTTCAAGCCATAAAACATTAATTATTTCAATTAAATACATATGCGCTTTTACATCTGATGACTAACCCATCGACTTTTTCGAAAATTTCGATATTTTTTAATATTAATATGTTACTAGTAACATATTTTCTTGCCATTTTTAACATTAAGAACCAGTTGCATCAAGAAAAAGCTAATTCTATTAAGAAATAATAATTTCGTTTAGCAATTATCTACATAAATCTAATAAAATGCGAAAGAGGAGAGATTAATTAAGCCTTATTAGCTCGAAATGATTTTAATGCAACTGGTTTTTTTTATCTCCAAATTGATTAACAAAACGCTCCTACTAAGGAAGATCTCTCAGCGGCTTTTCGGTACCAAGGGTAAAGGTATGAGCTAACGTTTTGGTAAGCTGCACGTTTTCTTTTATTACTATTATTGTACTACACGTAACTTATCTCGCAATTCACTTAATATTGTATTCGTATTTAGTGTGCAATTTATTCCTAGTTGATCCACTCAATGCAATTCTTTCGCCCTCTTATTTTACGCAATTAAAACTCGATTTCTCTCTTATTTTTATTTTGGCTTATTCTTTCGTTTTGATTATTTTGTTTACTCACCGACAACATTTGAACACCGGTGGTGGTGCTTGTGATTCCTTACGATGTTCGCCTGCTGCACTTTGCGTTCATCACAACACAAGCAAACATAACACGATACGATCTCGATATAGAGTGTAAAAAAAGGAAGAAAAAAAATTTAAGAACGGGAATTTATTCGCTGCGTCGATACGTTTCTGTCGAAAGATAGAATCGCGCGATCGCGTTCAATCAACGTAAGAACAGATCAACAGATATACTTACCTTGGGTGGGTGCGCATAGGTATCCGCAGCGGCGAAGTGACGCCCAACAGCCCGTCCCGACCGCACAGCTCCATGAGTCAGCAGAGCGCCAGCAGCGTGGGCAGCAGTAACGTCAATCTGCGTACCCGCACGGCCGCGTCGCGCCGACCGCGGCCCGCTTCTATTGCCGGTACCGGTGTCTCGATCACAGAGAAACACAGTGAGCATGCTCATTTTACTTCTCCATCCACCGACCCTTTCAGGTCGCCGAGGATTGGGCGGAAACCTAAAAAAAAAAAGAAAGAGAAACAACTTATGAAAATTAAATTCTCGAAATTATGACGGATATTAGAGTAAATCGAGAAAAAAGGGATATATGATGAACAAGTATATATTTATCTCTAATCTAAATTATATATATTGTTACACACGAATATTGAGTAGGCACAGATACAATATATACATAAATATATCCTGAAAGGGTTCGATATACACACGCTGTGTCATACATATCAGGTGCAACGAAAAGAGACTATATAAAAATATGTTCCGATTTTATATGAAATTTTTTTCTTTATATATCTCTCTTGTTCTCTCTTAAATAATTTGTATTTTTGTAAATTTACAATTTTATTTTCTTTTATGGAATTCTTTTTTTTTGGTCTATCCCCAACTACTTGTGCATATCATTTCTAATAACGACAATTAAAATTGCACATGTAAATACTGTATATAAAATTTTATGAACGTGCTCGCACAGAAAAGAAAGTATCCTAATTGCTCTGTTATCGCAGATCTAATGGGCGACGTGAAATTAACGAAGGATTCAAAGCCACCACTGCCAAAGGTCCATAGCACTCCAAAGAAACCTTCTACACCCAAAGCAATAGAGATGAAAAAACCGACGGAGAAATTAATCAAGAACGCCAAGTCATCACCGCGAATAACTCCGAAGGCGACACCTCTGCAGAGTCCCGGCGTTGAGCACGCACCGCTCATCCGTGAAACAACCGCGGAGATTATAAAACAGAATGAGGATAAGGAGGCGCAGGATGTGAAATTGGAGGACAAGAACGAGGAGAAGAAGGATCAGGGCACCGAGAAGACGCAGGTAAATTTTGTTCTATATCGATTCCTTGGAATAAACAACTTTATTCTGTATCTTCGAAGCGAAATAAATATCTTTTTTCCCATTTTTTGATCAACTTTTTTCAAACAAATAATTATTGTTTACAGCATAATAAAGTATACTTTTGAATTTTATTTTTAATAACAGGAAGCGAACATTGTTGAATCCATGACTAACGACATGAAAGTAGCGATGGAGCCTGTGTCGGCAAGCAAACAAGTCAAAGACGAAACTAATTTAATGCAAGAAAATCTGTCAGACGTTATTATGGAAGAACCGCCGAAAATCACTAAAAAAGAGGAGAACAAGCAAGAGAAAAAATCAACGGAGACGACTGAAACTAAGCCCGAGGGTGAAATGGACGACCAGATTGATATGTCAGGTATGATTAATCAAAACTTTATTGAAGTCGAACGATTATTTGTCACAAGCTTTTAACAATGATTATTAATAGCGGTTATCTATTTTATTGATGATTCGCTTTACAGCTTCGATGATAGCAAAAATCAGAATCACTACCGAAGAGGAAGCCAAAGCAGCTTTAGCTGAACGTAGGAGATTAGCTCGAGAACAAGCAGAACGAGAGGCGGAATTGGAGCGTCAACGACAGGTATCATCTATATAAATCAATTTAATATTAAACGGGCTTGGCCTTTATATGTCTGTTAACTTACCAGTAATAATTTTTGCAGGAAGAAGAAGCGCGTCTGGAAGCTGAAAGATTGCGCGCAGAGGAAGAGGAGCAACGTCGTCTAGAGGAAGAGACTATACGCTTAGCTAATGAAGCACGAGAGGCAGAGGAACAGCGATTAAAACAGGCAATCGAAGAAGCTAAGCGTCGTGAGGAGGAAGACAGACGAAAAAGAGAAGAGGAAGCTCGTCAAAAACAAGAAAAAGAAGAAGCAGAACGCAAGGCGAGAGAAGAGGCAGAAAAGTTAGTTTGAGAAATCTCTTTTCTCTTTTATCTGTTTTAAAAATTCATGATAGAATTGTATATAATAATATATCTACATATATTTAAATTACAGACAACGAATTGAGATGGCTGAGAGGCTTAAAAAGGAGGAAGAGGAGCGCAATGCTAGGCGCAAACGAGTGGAGGCGATCATGCTTAGAACAAGAGGCAGAAATCAATCCAACACATCTAAGGTAATATTGGATATTGACTATATTACTATATTAATATTTTATCACATATATATATATA